ATGGCCATCATACCCGAGTTTACCCTATAAAAGCCCATTTTAAGATATAGTCCTCCAGAGATCTCCAGTTGATCCTCGGGGGAATCTCGGCCCTCAAGGATGACTTGGCGATTAAGGCAACTTGGCCTAATTAGAATGCCAGATGCGGGACCAGCAGGGTTACGGTCGGGTCGATGTGGATTACGAGGACAGCAGGGCGCAAGAGGATTTTCGGCCTCGAAATCGCTGCTAAAATTAGCCTAGCGTCTTGCAAAACTGCTCAATGGACACTGCGCCAACGAGACGAAGGGGAAATGGAGTCGAGTACCACGTTCTTGTGCACATGGTGGAAATATATAAGGTGAAACAATACGCATAATGGCGGTAGCTAACTGGAAATATCCAATCAAATATGTCCGAATATGCACTTTCCTACGTATAATAACACAGGTTATACTGGAATAGAGCCAATCAAATATGTCCGAATATGCACTTTCCTACTACACATCCATCAGATTGCTTCACCTTATATATTTCCACCATGCTTGTGCATACCACGTGCATATGTACACGAGAGCTCTGCTTTACGTGTGCTCACGTGTGCGCGCGTTGTGCAACGCCTCGTCGATATTATTTTCTCATTACGGGCACGGAAAAGCAAAAACCTCGTTTCTCAACGAAACTCCGCATGATCGTTACGTCACCTTTGCGCATCTCAAGAGATCAAATCTTTCAAATGAATTGTATTTCAAAGAAAGAGAGGGAATAAACCTGGAAAATTAAAATTTATTGGCAACTTTACCGTGAAAATTTTTATCGTTATTTAATGCATATTATATTAGCCACTTCGTACCGAAATATTGATCCAAATTTAATTAAAAAACGCCACTCAAACTCCAGAGCGTCTTCTGTTCTAAAACGTGTTGTAACACGTCGGACCGTGTTGCGAACTGTACGTTGCGATCAGACTGCATTCTATACAGGATAAAAACGTGTGTAGTAATATAAGGGCCATGGTCACAGAAAGACGTAAGCAGTAAGACTAATGAGCCTTCTACTATGACTAATAAGCCATTAGTCATAAATCAGAAGTTAAAAGTTAAAAATTGACGACTGTGATTGGTCAATCTTTAGCTTCTGACTTTTGATTTATAACTAGTGGCTTATTGTACCCCGGATTTACAACAGATTTTTAAGTCTCAATGGCTGTTCTACAATGTGCTTTTTGTTTCCTGTTTCTTGCTGTTTGTCTCTGTCTCTTGCCTTTTTGATCAAGAAGGCAAGAGACAAACAGCAAGAAACAGGAAACAAAAAGCACATTGTAAACCAGCCATAAGCCATAAGGAATGGACGAATCACAATCAATTATTCTCCTCGCATTCGACTGTAGTTGGTCAATTTCTTACGGCTTAAGGCTTAAAACACTTATTGTAGATCCGGACTTAAACGTAAGCAAATCGACCAATCACAGTAGAGAACGTAAGGCAATAATGTAAGTAAGCAGTGGTAAATAAAAAATATCGATTTATTGACTGCTTACGGAAATTTGTGTGCAGGAGTTCTAAAATCTATTATAAAATATTGATGAATATAGAAAACTGCATTTAAATCGTGCAATTCAGAGATTCGTGAATTATCTCATCATTCAAAATGCTCAAAATTACCCCTAAATAAGGACACTTCTTTCTCGGTCACCGCGTATATAATTATTTTCGCGAAGTCATGCGACGCGTGTCAGTCGGACGAATGCACGCGAGTGAATTTCGAATGTATACATATATAAATGCATTGAAGACACATTGCGTAATAAATGTAATCGCATGTAGAAATGGATTTTCTTTAGATGAAATCAGAAGTACAAGCTCGAACTTGATCGTGAAATTCGAATCTTTGTTCGAAAGAGAAAGAGAGGAGATAGATAAATAGGATAGAGGTGTTTATTGTTTATTATTTGTTAAATGTATATTTCTATCTTTATGTTTTTCTTATTTTTATGTTCTAGGGCAAGCCCTCTAAAAATGTAAAAGTAAAAGAAAAATGTAAGGAGAGAGAGAGAGAGAGAGAGAGAGAGAATGTAATTAACAAAAGAAATAAAAAGGAGAAAGAGGGAAAGAAGAGAAAGAGGAGAGAGAGAGAGAGAGAGAGAGAGAGAGAGAGAGAGAGAGAGAGAGAGAGAGAAAGAGAGACTTGACGGAATCGACACACAATGCAGTTTTGTTCCCTCTATTACGCACCGTAAAATTCTACATGTATTAATTAAAGAGAAAAAAATATCTGACGTCAGTCTTGCGGCGAAAAACATACCATCATTGACTCGCTCGTTCTTTTCTACGATAATTTTCCTACTGCTAATATAAATTGCACCAATATAAATCATGTGCGATAAAATTCTCTTTCTTAAATCTCCTTTCGTCACTGTCCACCTTCGTTGTGAGAAGAATGAATAATTCATGCAGACTACAATAGTTGACATTTGCATTTCCGGTTATGAGTGTATCTGATTATATCGGCAAAGTCAAGCATTTAATATTGATATTCCGCTAAAACGTTCGTTATGCAAAAATCACAATTAATGCCGTAATTAATACCAAATATTAGCCAAATACAGATGTATCTTTAGAGACTCGCGGATGATAGCGCGAGATCGTTCCTACGCAAACTCTAAAACTATCAATTAAAACATTATTTTAAAAGATTGTTAGATGTGGAAAACGTAACGTGTATATTGATTAAATTCAAGGATTTAGCTAGTTATTTAATTGCTCTTATCTGTATTGTATCTACTTTTTTTAAACTACGATACCATCTCATTACCATTAACATACTACAACACTGTTATTTTTCCTAGTATCTAAATATAAAATTGTATAAAATATATTTTCTATCTTCATTTATTTTATTTTATTGAATACAAAACTTATTTACGTCACTGTATAATTTCTACGCGTTTGAATGTAAAATATATTAAGATATAAATGTATATAAATGTATAATATATTTTTTATGTTCTCTCATTTATATTTATTTTGTTAAATATAAAATATAAAATAAACATATTTGAACGTGAAACATATTAAAATATAAATATATATAAAATGTATAATATTTATGTTTATTTATTTACTTTATTTTATTAAATATCAAATCGATTTACGCCACTGTATATATTTTCTCTATACTTGAATGTAAAATATATTATATAAATATGGATATCTAATGTATGTTTCTTTTTTATGCTTTAATTATATAAATACTGTTGAATGTATGTATGCTATACGTCAATGACAGATAAACATTTCTTTATGTTAACATATTACTCATGCTAATAGGAAATCTTAATTCCTGTTACTAGGTATGTAGAACGCATATTGCAGCGGGATTTCCCTCGGCATAAAATATCATTGAAAGTTAAACTTAAAGTAGGCTGGAGGAATGTTTAAGTGGGTGCTAGAATTCATTTGCAATAGATAAATCTATATCATTTCTGGGAATGAGACGATTGAGTCGATCTCGGGACGTTCCCGAATCGATTCGATGCGCTGGCAAACACGATGCATTTTATGTGCATGTGACGTGTTACCGAGTGCATCGTTGGAGTTACATGAAGACGCGTGGCATCGACTGTTGCGGATCGATCGACTTAAATGTTTGAAGGAAACTGGGAAATCCGATTATTATGCAATTCTCTTTGCAGCATACTCCAGAACTTCAATGTAGAGAACTTCAATATCGAAGTCTTTAACAGACTTTAACAAAGAGAGATCTTTCCTAAAAAAAGAAAAGAAGAGAGTAAAAGGAGCTACGGTTTTCTGAGACACCGAGTATAAGGTTACGATAATTTCGTGCGTCGACGAATTTCTTTCTAACCGTTATTAGCTCTGTAAGGTCTTGCGTGAATCATGTGCAACATTCGCCTAGACAGACATATTTAGGTTGAATATATAAAGATAAGAGAGAGAAAACGGATGTATGAGAATAAGCCTTATTTGAAGAAACTTTAATACATACAATATGCTATCCAGCAAGCACAAAGTTACATGTAACGTACCTGTTAATTGTAATTTCCCACTCAACAATATAACTGTAATATAACATGTGTGAGTTAAAATTAAATTAATTAGTTATAGTGTTGAGTGGGACATTACATGTACAGGTACGTTACATGTAACTTATGTTTGTTGGATAGCTTTACTCATTTTAACAAATGTATTCGTCGATGTTCATAATAATCGAATCACGCGCAACATACGCTTAGACAGACATATTCAGGCTAAATATATATGGATATATATAGACGTGGAAATGAATGTCGAGAATAAATCCTATTTAAAGGATTTATTTAATACAAAACTGTTTACTCATTTTAACAAATTTGTTCCAAGTTGATCATGATCGGCTAATGATATTCATGCAAGGTCACGTAACACATGCACGCGTTAAACCGCAGTTTGCCGCTTCCTCCTCCCGCCACTCGGCCGAAAAGGAAAGGTCTATAATTCTACGGTAGACTCCTCGCACACAATGACCAGTCAACGTACACTCTGCAAAAAGCACACATGTACACGACTCACACACTCAGGAAATGTCCTTTTCAAAAGCACCTACCTTATATATGACAAGAAAAATGTCCTGTTGAAGGACGGATCGTGAAATCGATCGCGGTCGCTCGATCGTCTCCCTATCGACAAATTCGGAAGCCCATCCTCGTTCTTTCGCGGAACGGGAGGGTTCCGTCCAAGCCGGTCGATAGAGAGAACACTGCGGTCAGCCGTTCGCGGCGGTGAAAATCACCGCGGTCGACGAAAACCGACCCGGGGTGGTTTTCGAAGGTGTTCATGTTCGCGAAATTTCGAATTTCGAACGTTCGCCAAGTTTTCCTTTGTATCGAACAAACGACTGATAAATTTTTCGAAGGACGCGAAATCGCGTGAGAGCGGCGCTAACTTGCCCATGCGGAGGGGGAAAAAAAGAGGGTGAGAAAAGGGGAAGAGCGAGGTTTTAAGGAAGACCCAGGGACTCACCTGCACGTCGAGGCAGCGTTTCGGAGTGAAGCGGAATAGCGCCATCCTTTTTCTTGCGTAGGTTGTAACCTGCGCGGGTGTCACGTACCCTCAAACTGACCGTCTGACTAATCGACCGAACCACGCGGTGCTGCGGCGCTCCAACTCGACTGGCTCCGCCGTCTGGCCGCCTCCGTTGGGCCCCAGCCGCGCCGCTTTCGCCGCTAAGCTGCGCGCGCATCCATTCGAGCGGCGCTCGACTCACTCGACTACGGCGCGCTTCAGACCGCTTCAGGAGCGGCTGCGGCCGCGGCGCGCCCCGTCTTGAAATTTCACTATCGGTCCGTTTGCATTGCATGCACTTTTTACACTCGGCATCTTGGCTTTCTCTCTTTTCAACTTCCAAATATGTATCCTTCTCATTTTAAGTGCAAAAATATTCAAAGATTTCAAGTAACGCGAACAGACCAATTAAGGGCTGCGTTCGAGCAGAAAAAGCAACTTTGCAACTGTTGTAAGATTCTTTTTTCGCTAAATCTAAGTCGTATCTAGTATCTAAAGTTTTTTGTTTCATCTTTGTCTATGATATGAATGTCTATGATAATAATTCTAAGTGTAGAAACCAATCGCTGCGCGCTACTGATTTTTTTTTCTGCTGAATGCATTCTTTTGTATGTCAATTGAGGCCCGGTTCCACAAATTATCCCCAGACAGCACACAATATTTACAAAATATTTACAAAATATTTAGAAATACTTATAAGATTTATTTTAAATATTTTGTAAATATTTTTGTGGTTTTAAATTGCACAGATCATAAATATTTATTATAAATATTATGAAATACTTATTAGAATAATTTTAGTAAGTGTTATAAAAATACTTAATGACACATTATAATCCAAATAAAAAATATTTATTAGAAATATTTATTTATATTTATCATAAATATT